TTTCATATTTGTATAAAAGCGCGGGGTGAAACCCGCGGGTATAAGCTTGTACATACATATATATGTATGTACACATACATACTTGCATTCAAACCTACATATATACATATGTAGGTACTCGTACTCGTCATGCGTCGCTTTATTTCTTTTTCCCCCTTCCCTATACTACCTTTATCTTCCTTCTCACTCATGTAACGTTTTCAGTTTTAAAAGTTTCACTCTCCATTTTTGCCATACCGCCGCCTAAGAAGTTTCACTTCAAAAACCTTATTTCTATATTTTTGCGATGTTGCTTTGACCAGGGTTTGAACCCAGGCGTTGTGGAATGGAAGCGCGCACTGCTTACCACTACACCCCAGCGGCCGTGCATTATATAGAAGAAAATTCGCAACAGCCTCCACAAAAAAAAAAAAAATCCTAAAAAACCAACGGAAATTTTAAGCTCTGTTTCCCTTACAGAGTTGCATGCAATAAAGTGTTTAACTCAGTGAGAGAGCAGGACCGGGATGAATGTATTTGCATAAAAATTTATTAAAGCAAAAATGTTTTGGGTAGGCGTCGGGGCCAATGATAACCATCAGTTACCACCTCTGCATGGTTGTAAGCCATGCAGACTCCCTACGGCTTGTAGTGCTGTGGCTTTGCCGCTTAAACTCTGTAAGAGTTTTTCGGGGTGTGCGTCAAGCGGGATTGTTGAGCACCGGTTATGTATTTAAATTAGAAAATTGGATAGGCGCTGTGGCCAATGGTAGCTCTTGTACCACCTATGTATGCCGAAAGCAATACAGAGCCCGTGAGACAACTCCGGGAGAGTTGTGATGCATCAAGCGTGCGTCAAGTGCGTGTGCTTATTCGCTGCACTTGGTTTTGTGCGGGAGTGCAATACAAGTGCGTGTGTGTGTTCGCTGTTCTTTGTTTATGCAGGAAATGCAAACAAAAAGAATAATGCAAATGTCGGAAATACGGAAAAAATCTTGTCCCGGCGGAACATTTCAAATTTAATGCAAAATACGGGACGTCCCGGCAAATACGGGACATTTGGCAACACTAGTATGGGTATCTTTTACGTAAGTTGCAATATGGTTATCTTTCAAGGGTTAATAAATAAGTCCCTCAAGTACGAAAATAATGCAATTTTTAATAAAAAAGGGAGGGTTCAGGAACTATAAGAAACCTGTGAAATATGTGTAAAACAGGATAATTTTTACAATATGCAAAAACCCTCTAACAATCCGTACAAAAGTCCATATATCTTGACGGAAAGCTAAAAATCCGTACGTTGAATCCATACAGCCATTTTCGCCCCTGCAAATTCGTAGCGTACGGAAAAAATCCGTACATCTGGTAATTAGATTCTGAATTAACATAAGACGATTGAATTAAGTAGGAAATTTAGAGAGTAGAATTTTAATCCATAATATTTTTATAGCGATATATTAGTGAAATATACATGTATACCAGTAAAAATAATGAACTGAACAATTTTTGATCGCGGTTTGATGGTGAAATTACAAGTTACTAAATTTTTCAGTTTGGTGTGGGTGTTGCACTAGAGCAATAAGGGGGAAGAGGATATGACGGCGTGATGACGGACTGACTCGGACTAGTGCGGACGTAGACAAGACGGACGTATGTCAGGAATAGGAGGCTTTGCCCCAATAGTCAGAGATATAACAATGGCGCCCAACGGTAATAGCCCGGTAACTTTTATTTTCACATTTGCTTAATTTTCAATTTGTTGGCTTTAACTTCTGTCTCTGTTAAAATTACTTTTATCTATCGCTAAGATTCCCTTCTTCACCTATCGGAGAGTTTAGGGTCATAATGGCAACATGGGTCTGACTCGTCTATAACGATATGTGCAACAATGACAAGTTAACCTTTCTTTTCGTATGGAGTTCCTTCTATACGCTACAACGGGTGTGGAAGTGGTATCCGAAGAAAATGAAAACGTTTTTATAGCGCACTTGTGCACAAGGGTATTATGACTTTGTTCACATAACGGTTATTTGTAACAGCCAAAACGAATCGATATAGATATAGACAAATGTATACATAAATAATCAGAATGAAAAGATTAATCAATTAAGCGGTGACTGTCTGTCCGTCCGTCCGCCTGTGCAAACGATAACTCGAGTAAAAATTGATATGTCTTAACGAGACTCGGTACGTGTACTTCTTTTGGGCGTAGGACGGACGGTATTGAAAATGGGCGAAATCGGACGATAACCATGCCTACCTCCCATATAACGGTAGTTCTCAGAAATATGAAAGCTGCGATATTTTAGTAACTACTGAAGGTTATTCAATCAAAATTGAAATTTACAATAATATTTAGACGAAAAAGAAGAATGTTATACATTTTTGTGAAATGGGCGTAGCTACCCCCACTTATGGTTACACATGTATAACTTGGTAATCGCTCCACTAATTTCTTCCAAGCTTAACATGGTTATTTGCCTTGGTCCACTATACCCAATGGCTGAAAATTTTTAAAATCGGACAATAACGATGCCCACATCCCATATAACGGTAATTCAGAGAAATACGAAATCTTCGATAAATCAGGAAATACTAAAGCTAATTTATTAAGAATTTATGCTTGCAACAATTCTTTACCAGAAATATGTTTAAGATAAAATTTTGGACCATCCACATGAGACTATATAACCCTGCAAGAACAGGGACTATCATTTGACAAATCATTTGAGTGGCAAGACTGATAGAGATTTCTGTCACAAGCTACCTACAAGTTGCTATCAAATTCTAAAGGGCAGTGTGAAAAATCTGATGTAAACATTTGTGTACATGTGATCTTCCGTCTTCCTCCAACTTATGGCCTTATTTAATGGTCTCTTTTTAACCAACGCAATATTTGCAAATGTGTTAGTAAGATAAATGAGAATGTGTTAGTTTCCATCACACAATTCTTGTAGGGAAGTTTATCTTATAATGTCTAACTGAACGTCCTATCGAAGATGTTTAAATTATGGGTAAAACCACCCCGGCTTACCATGAAGCGGTAGTTTTCGGAAAGGTGAAAAGCATATATTTAATACTTGCGCCGTTCTTTTAATATTCGGCTCCACCCGAACTTAGACGTTCTTACTTGTTTATACTAATATTAGGAATAGGTTTAAACAACGAACTTTTTTTTTGTCTTGCCCTTTGAACCGGATTTTTGAATTTGGAATGTGAATTGAATATTTTTAATACCTACATACATACATATATATATATATATTGCCAGAATGTGTTAGAGGTCAATATTGTTTATTACATACATATTTAGTTGGTATATAAACAAATTCTATGAATTTCTGAATTTACGTATTTTTATTTTTTTAACCATAGTATATAATCCCTTGAGTTAAGCTGAAACGTTCGCGATTTTTTTTTTTTTTTTTATAGGAAGTAGACTAGTGTATCACTATAACTCTGAGCGTGAGGAAGTTTCTAATTCTGTGTGAAGGTGTGAGCGAATGGGAGAGAGTAACTCTGAACAACCTGTGGTTGGTGGATTAGGGTTGTGTGGTACGAATAGACGGTTCACTAGGAGCGTTACTAGAACCCTAGAAAACCAAGTAGTGGGCTCTCTATTCACTCAAATAGACACGGGGATACCACATTCGATCGATTTTCTGCCTACAGATTATTTTAATAGGCATTCTTAGTACGCTAGAAGGGGGAAACAACCCGACACGGGATTCTGAAGCCGGACACACGAAAGCCCCAGAGAGTCCGACTTCATCTGCCATCGATATTGAACAGCTGAGCCGCATGATGGCGATGATGACGCAACAAAATGAAATGATGTCGCAATGCATGAATGAAGTTCACAACATGCGAGCAGACGTGTCAAACCTCATCAACCGAATCGCCGATATGGAGACGTCAGCACAGGCTTTAGGTAACCGGTCCAGTCTGGCATCGACACCAGAGAATAGGAACCGCAATAAACAGGGAACTGATAGACAATTAGGTGAAGAGGCTTCAACCGGTAACAAAAGGATGAGTGAACGCGAACCTCATGATACGCCCAAATGGAAGAAGGTTGACTTCGATAAGTGGCATATAAAATTTGACGGGTCAGGAAAGGGCATTACAGTTAAAAGTTTATTGTGTAGGGTAGAGAAGATGCGGGTGCAGTCTGAAATCTCATACCGTCAGTTGTTTGTAGATTTTCACTGGATTTGGCAGGTTTTAGAGGACCACAGGGATGAGGCAAGTTTTAGCTATTTAGAGTTGAAGAGGGAACTTCTATCACACTTTAAGAACTCGGAGGCTGACTATGAGATTATAAGAGAAATAAAGGAACGTAAGAACGTAAGTAGGAAAGCGGAGTGCGGGCGAGCTGAACGACTGATTAGGCAGAATAGAAGCCGCTTTAAGGCCGTCATAGTGTTAGAATACCCAGAAATTCGGTATGCCTGTCGATTTTTTTGTGAAAAACCCGTCCGAGCCTAAGAAAGAAAGTCATTGTAAGTTCTCGTTCCACAACATGGTATGTTTTGCGTGTGGTGGTGATATGTCTTTCTGTGTTTTTAAACCAACTCAGGGAAACTCGTCACTGTCAGAGATTA